TTCGCACATTAGGTTTCACTGCATGGCGAGATGCGGGATTGTATGTGTGTGCACACATATATCGTGAGTGCTTCAGTTTATTCAGAGGTTCTGAAATAGGCGATCACATGAAAATTTTTCACCATCCACTTCATGCCAAACAGCGAGTACAATTGAAAGTTTAAAAGGTCTCATATTGCGCCGCTCTCATGACGTTTCTTGCACATATATTAAATTTAGAATCACCTCAAACTTTTCTTAACTTTTGCGCTGTATTTAGGCCAAACACACATGAGAGTGTATGAATTGGGTGAAATTGAATTTTCCATTATTAATAGTATGTGAGGTATTAAAGTTTCACCTGTGCAGGCAAAGTGGAAAGCTCCCTTCTTTGAGCTTTGTACAGGAAAAATGGAAAGGAATTAAAGGTAAATCAAAAGAATATTAACGAAATCTTAATTATACATCTTTCAGAGAGTCAGCTTAATTCTCTTCCTGCCCATTTTCACGGTTGCCCACGTTCGGCCGCCTTCTAGCCTGGCCTCATAATGTTTTCCATTGATTACGCAAAATGTGTGTAAAGTATTGTGTGATTCATTAATTTATTCACCGGCACTTGTCTGACTTGGCCAAGAAACTTTCACCTCGACGCCCTGCACCCGCAACATAATCGCCACAATCATGGTGTTGTGCATGAGGCTGGTCATTACGGGTGAGAATTTCATACACGAATCACGAACACCGGATACAAATGAATTCATATTTAATATAAATGAACACATATCGTCTTATTGGGTGGGCCTCGCAGACACACACACCCAACCCTCCACATCCACTGCCTCAATCCCACGGGACTTGTGGCGGAGCCCGCAGCTCGGAGGGGATGATGAACATGGCAACACGGGGGGATGAAATGTGTAGATCAGACCCCAACCCTCACAGTGTATTCCCACTTGTACGGATGCCTTGCAGTCCGACCGGGAAGAAAATTGATCCTCTCGTGTTGTATTTTAATTTATTATAACGAAAACGTCCTGCAAAATTTATCGTTTTCTAAGCAAAATGTAATTAATTACACCACGTCCAATTTTTCACGCATTATATTTCCGATTGTTGAGTGTCTCTTTCCCTCTCAACCACCCTCGCCGAAATCATGAATCCCACCCCTCGAGGTGATCTCCTCACTCTCCATCTCGTCTAAAATTTCAGTGGCTCAGAAGCTCACAAAATAATTTGGTCTAGTTTGAAGCAGTTTTCAGAGAGTCGAATATTTTATTTCATATAACTTATTACTCAATGGATATCTGTACAAACACAACGGAAATTGTGATAAAAAAAGACCATTCACCATTTATTAATTTCTCTGAGTGAAATTGAGTCTGCATCGAACAACTTTGCAACAAATTGAAAACGTTTTCCTGTATGAGATTTGTGCTGAAAATTATGCTTCTGCATTTCACTGGTTGGGTTGAAAAATGATTTTTCTATCAGACGATGAAATTATATTCCTCACTCAATTCCATTCCCAATATTGCCAACACACACGCCAACAATGCGGTTCGCAATATTTCCCTTGAATTTCTGCTACAATCATCATACAAACACTGGGCATAATATAGTTTTCAACGTGACGGCCGCCAATGTTTTGATAGCGAGGCAAAAGCCCCCGCAGAAGTCCGTTGACATTGCGCCCCGCTAGCAGGGAAATCTCTTAATTCCCATCACTCGTCTGGCCATATCGGGAAAATACAGTGGGCATTATACGCTCATTTGGAGAGCGTTTTTCACCACCATTGCCACTCTACAGAACAGAAGCTTCTGGACAGATGAGGAATGAATTTTCTCAACAAATTACTCTGGTGCCACTCAAAAAGCCCAAAACTCCCAACCGAGCGAAGCTCATTCATGCACATATTTGTGACGACTATTCAGAGTGGTTGGGGCGCAAAGAGGGTGTACATAGTCGCGTCTGTTTTGAGAAGGCATTTCCTCTATGACAAACTCTAGTGCCACTTCTCACCCTCTGTGAGACATGGCAGTTGCCTTTCGTGTGGCCCAACTGACAGCGCAAGTGGCATTATAAAGTCATAATGCTGACAACAATACGTCCGTAATTGCGACAAACTCAATTAATTATACGCGATTTGGTTATTAAACCATTTAAATTTATATTTTAATGTCCCTTGCCGCAGAAAACACAATCCCGCAAATATTATTGCCAACTCTAAATTATTTGCAACATGCTCAACAAAGGCAAAATTGGTTAGATGTCGAAGTGCCCCAGGGCTGGAAAGCAAACTCCATATTTACCAACATATTAACGTCCACAGAGAGATAAATAGAAAATTTTCGGTAACAAGAAAAAAGTTTTAAATGAAACCATCTGTTGCCTCAATGAGATGTTAGCTGTATAATGAAAAATCACTGTTTTTCGATCAATTTTTTCAGTATGACTTTTGCTGCATCGTCAACTTGAAGAGAAAGTAATGAGGAAATTTATTCTCCCTGTATATCAATGATCTGCCTCAGTGTCTTAGAAACTGTATAGTTATCATTTAATTGCAGATCACTTCCAGATTTACTACTCTGGTGATCCGCAAAATTTCGACTTTGCTTTCGAGGTAATGAATGAAGATCTTCTGGTCGGCTTGATTACCGTATGAAACTCTTGGCTTTCGGATCGTCAAATTGTCCTATCAACATTAAATTGAATTGGATTGAGATTTCACGAAATTACGGACAGTGTCTTGTAAAACATCCTTAATCACTATAATAAATAAATTGGGCGGTTGAGTTGTGATCGATTAGGAGGAATATTGCTAATTATTTCGTTATACATATTAACCATTAATGATTCTATATCTCTGTTGAATGGATACAATTTATAGTAAAAACTTTACGATTCAGTGGCTGCCCAGTCGATTCCATGTGCACATATTCTGTGGGCCGATTGTGCATTTTTGGGGGTTGGAGAGCAGGAAAGTGAGCACGGGCAGAGTGTTATTTTGAGATTGTCGATTGCATCCACTCAAAATGGTCCCCAGTGAGACCAACAGCAATAACCGATGGCACATTGCATATAAACATGACCTTTCAATTAGTCCCAATTGAACGACAAATCAAACAGCAAAGCGCATCTATAATAAACATTTCACTGCAACACTCCTCTCTCGTGTCTTTTTCCGTGTCCCCTCAAACCCATCTGCCTTCCAGACTGGAGGGGTGGCACTTTGGTGGGTGGTGAAAAATGCGCCCTTGGATATCATCATTATATTCCTATGCATTGACTCGCTCTCGCTATTTTCAGTATTTTCTCCCCATTTTCTGCGCATTCATTCACGCCAGAAGCAAAACAATTCCTATAAATTTTCATACATTTGAGCATAAATCAAAATCACTTCTCCGCGAGACAAGAAGCGAAATCAGACAATTTTTGATTCTCCAGAGGGTGACTTTGTTGCGCTTCCGCCTAAACTGTGACTTTTTGATACGGAACTCTTGTCAAATTGTCATAACAGTGGGAATTTGCGACCCGACGTGGATTTACTGCGTGGTAGAAAATATTGAAGATCTCAAATACATGACATTTATTCGATGGTGTTCGGTAGAGTGGGAGATGGCAAGAAAATTTATATGTGGCACTCTCCAGAGGAAAATAGTGTTGTGAGAAAAAAAAATCGAGTGGGTGAGAATTTGCATGATAAATCACATTTCATGCGACAGAGAGAAACGATTTCACTTTTTAGAGTGCATTTTTATTATGGATTTCTGAGATATTGTGACGTCTGATCCAATATTTGCACTCTGTGAAAAATGTATATTTGTTATAGATTCGCCTCTGGTCGGAGACAATCGTGCTTCAGAGATAGAGTGATTAAGGGAGAAATCTCAATTTTGCAGAATTCTCGAGTGTGTGCTGGGAAATCGTCTGAATTAATTGTTGGGTGTGTCTCTGACCAAAAATCTCGTATAACACAAGCTTTGCTACAGGACGGAAGCGCCGCGTGATGAAAAAACCCTGCCATTTCCATCGAGAAAAATCCCCATTGACAAATATGAAGCTCGGACAGTGTGAGTGCGAGAAATAAAATTCCAAACAACTCTCCACAATCCACACAGTCTTCAAATTACTTTTGCCAATGTACACCATCTCATCGAAGTGCTTCAGTTCATTTATTTTCCACTCGTTCCACCTCGTGCAGGAAGCTGAAAGGGAAGAGTTTTTGTCCCGTACATTAAACACCGACAAAGGGTCGTGGCTGGGATGCTTTAAGGTGCGGCTTTCGTGTGCTGGTAAACTGAGAACGGTCGGAATCACTGATGGCGTTTGTAGTCTATAGAAATTTTTGCTAATTTCCCACCTCTCCGGATGCACACAACTGGCAATTGGCCGATGAAAGCCACAGCATTAACCCAAAAAGGCAGTGTTTGAGCACAAGAAGAGCTGCATTGTGCTCATTTGTCAAAAACAATACGAACTTCCAACTAAAGTGTGCTTTTGGCCAACGTAAGTTGCCAAATTCACTCTCTCCGCGATGTTTAATGTAGATAATCACAAATCTATATGTCGTTTCTTCGAAAACCTCATTTTTAAGCTGAAAATTGTGTGAATACAACCGAAAGAAAATCTCCCAATGCGTTTTGTTCGAACTCGATCCGAAACTCTTTGATTTGCATTTGAAATTTTGCTCCAGTTTCTGTGACACGAATCAGGATTTTTTAATGAGCCTATTTGAGACCGAGACATTTCCGTCAATGAGCAATAGATCGTGAATATCGATGTACACCTAAAAAATATGCACAAATCCCCGATAATCGTCACGCATTTCAACTCACAGCGAATATTCTTTGCGATTATTTTGGCAAATTCGCATCAACGCCGAAAGCGAGACTGAGTTGTTGTGTTTTCCCGGCGGAGCTCCATGAATTTTCAAGCGACTAATTTGCTAAAATGTATTTGTTTGGAGAATGTGGAACATAAATGCACGCAGAGGAGAGGAATTATGTATTCTCATAAATACCTCATTGCAGTCTAGCGCTGGAAAATCGCCATCATGCCGTAGGTAATGGTGATAAGCGTGATTGCCAGAAGGAAAGGTCCAATTTACGCGATGCACCTGGTTCACATTTGGCTCCTGCTTCTGCACCACCAGGAAATCTTGCTCGTTGCACTGGACAACAACTTTGCGAACACTTTTACTCTCATTATTCTGCACGCCGACAATCTCATAAGTCATAACCAGCGGCACATGCCTGAGTCGGAGGATTGAGATAGTGAGAAGAAGCAGCCAGAAATGGCCCCTTTCCAGCCACACAGACTAATTAATGACTCGCTAACATGAACAAACTCGAAATTGAGTCGCAGCGAAAGAGGCATTTTCGGCTACAATGGTGTACTGATTGAATTCCTTTGAAGACATTTCACTTTCGAAAGTGTTATTGAGATAAATCTTATAAATTTCAGCAGGAGAAATTATATTAACGAGGAAAAAACCCCAAAGGAAGGGTACAAATATCTGTCAAATTTATCTACCTTGACACTCAATTAATTCTGCCAGGAATTTTGGATCATATTATAAAGTACTTGATAGAGTATGAAGCATCTAAATTGACTTCCTCACTAAATTACGATATTATTGCTAATTGCTCCCCACTCAACATCATCCGCTCCATGCAGTGAACATTCTTCATTTTAATACATCATTTCACTGAGTAAATAAATGAAAGTTAACATAAACACTTTATAGTCGTTGTTCTCGTTGAAATTCAGCCAATCTTCGCCAACATGTTGCTGGCAAATGTTTAAATGCAAACTGACATGAGGAGTGTGAGGAATTGATTTAGAAATTACGACAGTTGCCAACAATAAACATCACTCCTTGCAATTAGAGCTGTAAATGGAGCTATAATTATCTGATCATGTCGATTTGGAGGGAAATTGCTTAAAAATAAAAGCACCATTTGACAAGTTAGTTTTCAGAGTGTGACGATATTTGCCAATGTGTTATTTTCAGGTGTTTTAATGCATTTTGCATCTCTTTTGCAGTGAAAAACACTCTCTCACTCTCCTATCGCTATACTATTGGGAAACATGTATAGAAAATTATGGCATGGAAGCAGCAAGAGCGTGCGAAGGGATGAGAAAGGCAGAGGTTTGGGCGCAGTGAGGAAATCTGCAAGATTTATATTTGAAAAATGACACTGCGCCACTTTGGCAGCAACAATAGTGTCGGTGGAGGCGCCCGGTCGATTTGTTATTTCACTCTTCTGCATTTTTTCCAGCACACCCTCGACTTTTCCGGCACCTCTGGCTTCTTTTCCACCCTTCCGCTCTCCTTGGGTGAAACTATTATAAAGTGCTTATTGCATTTCCGCACTCTTCACCATTGGAATTTCTCTTCGACAGTGTGAAAATACTCAACGGCTATTATTGAGCACGATTTTCCTTTATTTCTATACTTTTCACGTAAATTGCTTTTATTTTTCTTATCTCTTCAAGCAGTATTCTTCACCGTGACTTTATTTTTCTGGCCCAGATGTCAATGCAAGAAAAGTGACAGAATTGTTTTTCACCTAAGCCCGAGACGTGAAGAGAAAAAATATATTGTATTTTTGAAAATATCTATAAGAGTTTCTGATATTGCAGTTGCACCCTTTTCATTTCATTGTGAAATAATAAAATGCTAGAACTCTCGGTATTTCATTTTACAATTGAGAGCGGCAAACATTTGAGCCACTCGACATCACAATGAAGGCATGAATATAAGGAGGAAGAGTATTCGTGAAATATTGTGCAATTCGCTGCATAATTTTACACCCGAAAAATACACTAGAGTGGCTGGAAAGGGGTGGGTTTGTTGCCCATCTGTAAGGGTGTTGTGCGGTCTATTGTGGCAATGTTTGCATTGAAAATAACCCCCAGAACGACACTCGCTTTTTCACGAATTTTTTTCCGTGCTGCTGATCAAAACTACAGGACACACATCACACAACAGCAAATGTACACTCATGCCCGAGCAACACAGGAGAATCGTGGAGAGTTGAGGGAATGAGAACCAACAGAGTGATGCAATGCAATGTGAGATGTTGGCTGTCGCAGAGCCTTGAATTGCGAGCAATTGGAATTAATTTAGCCGATCAGAAAAGTGCTCTTTGATGGTGAAAGAGGTGAAATTCGCGCGCGGCAGAAAACACATCCAGTCCGTGAGGCGTCTCGTCATGCCACTGAAATATCCTCAGACTCTTCGAAGGCACTTTCCATCGGAAAATTCAGCACTGCATTCTTGTACATGCGGCACTCTCTCTCGCTCTCAGCCAGAATTGGGAGGGATTTTCCACAGGACTCTCTCACGCTGGCGCGCTATTCCTTGCCATGCGTTTTCCCTCCAATGTGGAAAAGTGGTACAATAAATAGAGAGACGCCGTGGAAATTGGGTGAGAAGAAAATCACGTGGCAAGAGCACGCGACGGAGCTTTTCTAAGAATACCAATTGGACAGAGTGGCAAGTCTTGGGAGAGAGCCGTACAATAAAAGTGGGAGTTGTCTTCGAAACTTGTTCCACTCATCAAATTTCCCTCAGTCATCTCACTCCCACGCACCATCGCAATCTCTTTCACACGTCCAAACTGGATCCCAATGTGTCACTCCATCGACAGATACCAGCCCCCCGTGTTGGGGCCATCCAGCAGCCCGACTACGTGTCCTTCTGCCAAATTTGACAATAAACGAGCATATTTTCATCCTCCACGGCAGATAAATTCTCCCTGTCATTTCCAATGAGCTACAAGAAGTCACTTTATCCATCGAGGATTTTACTTGTTCTCATCAAATATTAAACGTTGCGAAATACTTCAAATACTTTAGAATTAAAATTTTAATTCAATTTCTACTTGATGCTTCATATTCAATTCTATCCACATATATTCAAGACACTTTAAATCATTCGTTGAAAAATAGAAAATTGATTTCCTATTAAGTTCTTCAATTCATCCGATATCTTATGTTGTTTTGTTGACTTTATTTGTCTTGAAAGGAATCACTTTGTGGCACTGTTCAAACTCTGGGCGCACATTTAGATCACCTGTATTGGGAAAATGTTGCATAAAGTGTCCCATCCTTGAAATACATTCGTTGATTGAGTTCTGCAAGTTTGCCTCCAAACACTTCACATATACCAAATGCAAGAAGCCTTGGCTATGTGTTGCTGTATAAAATATATCTGATGGACGAGTGTATATTATTAACTTTCCTCCATCCACATCTGCCAGGATATATCTTCTGAGATGTACAATGTGGCTGCTCAAGAGGTGCGAGCTGATGGGCGGGGGCTCAGATCTTGTGTCTCTTCTGGGTGTTGTCGTTGTCGATGAACGTGACTCCGTTGTGTTTGGAACTTCCAACTCCGGCATGGGTTGGATTCTTTCACCTTCCCAACTTCTAACCCTCGGAGTCATTCTTCGGCGAGTTTATGTTTTATCCCCATCCTGCCGCTCTCTTCCAGACACCAGAGCAAATGATACCTCAGAAAGATACGTTATACGAACAGTTCTTGCACGTTTTACCTCCAATTCGACACAGCTAAATGGATGCAAAATATTGTTCTATCCTCACAGTCTGGAGTCAAAGATGAAAATTAAATACTGGATGAAAATTGTCCATTTGAAGACTGGACGGAATACACATTTTTCCTCCTGTTTCAACAGGAAAATCCTTCGTATGTCATAATATTCTTTAAATTGCATATTTGACTACTCAGTAGATACTTGCTAGCAAAATACAGTCTCTAAATACATCCTCTCAACTTTGAGACCCTTCCAAACTATGGAGTGTGAATTGGAAGTTGTATTTAGAGAGGAATTTCCGAAATTAAACCCTTTTTGTCTCTCCCGCCACTCACAATGTTGACTCTGGTGCTGAAGAAATCCTATAATGAGTGTTTTACATGAAATTAAACGTACTAAAAGTCCTGACTGTGTGTGTGTATAAGAGGTAGTTGAGCTCAAGAAGAGATAAATATCACTCACGTAGAACTAACCTCATTTCACACCCTATCATGTATCCAAAATCACCATATCCATCCAACGTGAGTCTACCTATCCATTTATTCGTCGCTGGAGCGCACTTTCGAGTTGACTTTGTGTACCTCATGAAAAGGTAAAGTATGTTGTAGGAATCTCCCATCCTTCGCTGTGTGGCCAATTCTGACGGCGGGCTTCGGTGAGAGGTGAGAATGGGGGTCGAGATGCTGTGAGAAGTGGTTGCCATTTATACAGTTCAACCATCACCCACTTGTTCAGTGGCTATATAGAGTCACTGAGCAAACATTTACTTATTCCTTCATCACGTTGCATGAAACATACATTCTCATGATTTATCCCTTTGCGAAATGCTCTCTCTCTCCGGCTGAAATTTCCGTCGCTACCCTATGAATTTCCCATTGGACTTTTCTTCTCCGTACACACATGCCTAGCGCTCGTATGCAATGTGTATACAGGGGCACGATCCAGGCACAGATAGTGGACAAAATTAGCTAGACCTCACAGAAAAATGCTTTCAGAGCTGCTGTGAAAAAATTCAATCATGCGCCTGCAATGATTGAATGAGTTTTATCTCACAATCTACGCTCCTTTCAACTCTACCCGCCCGAAATCCTTTTGGATTGTGTGCGACTGCAGTGAAATATGATAGGGTATGTACGTGATGCTATTTAACATTTGAACACACCTAATTTTTCTGAAAAATTTCATACAATATGACACGATTGTGCTTCTCGCAGTCTTTTCTTTGCTCTCTCTCTCTCTCTTCTTGCAAACGCTTGCCGGGAAGATATAGAGAGAGAACTTTTCCACCCAAGGAATTTAATGTCGCTTGAAATGTTTAGTGATTTTAGTCACACACTTGAAGGATACTTCAGAAGAACAATCATGAATATATGATCGTAAATCATGCAAAAAATAGATCACTTCTTCTATTCATCACCATTATTTATGATTCCAGCAAATTGATTTTTGCATGGAAGGAATTTTTCCCTCATCCATCAAACTTCTTCTGGCCAAGGCGCGCTTAAAAAATAATCTTCTGGGGGGAACATGAATTAAATTTTCATGGGAATTTCTTGTCCTTCGAATGATACTCGTGTGGAAAATGGCTTTAGAGACTTCGCTCGTTATTTGAAATCACGGAAAATCCCTCTTTTCTGACGCTCGCGCGACAAAAGGGGCCCGCAAGAGGGTCAAACGTGAGTCACTGAGTCGAGCAATTTTTCCCCTCAGCATTAGCAAGTTTCTCGAAAATTATTCATTCCTACACACAGAAGAAACACCCTGAAATCATTTTATAGCTTCTGAAAGTCTACAAGTCGACCACTTCCTCACTGCCTCGAAGCAACCACCTTTGGAAGTCTATTATCTAATTGCAGATGGGCGCTAATTTAACCAATTTATCCACATTGTGTTAAGAAAGGATGTCTAGGTGGCCAGATAACACGAAGACAGAGTACAATTGCCTGAATGCATCGCTAAAGAGTAATTATATCAGTGAATAACAATTTTGCGAATGGGTCGCGTGCATAGCGTCGATTACTCATAATAAATTACCTAATAGTGGAGGCGCCTGGTTAATTGTCTGGCCTTTTGTATGGACTATATATCTCTGGATTTTATCCACTTTTCATCTTTCACTCTCCTCAATTCCACGAACGCCGTGCAACTTTCTCAGGAGACATGCGGAATGATGAATGGCCCTAATTAGCGGCTCAAAAGCTATAGAGAAATTGTTTGTATTTAGCTGAAAAAAAACCGCTGCCCACTCTTCATAGTCATTCTTGTGATGTTGATAGATAAAATTCCTTTATACATTTTTTACTACTATTACATTTTTTGTTTCTCTATGCTGTCGACAAACTTTTCTTTTACACCAACTCCCACACGCCCAAGCGTCGCACTCAATAATCCACGGTGGATACGATGTGACTATAAATATTTGATGAATTTATAATGGACGCGCCGCAAACTCACTTCGAGGGATTACAGTTCAGCAGCAGAAGTCAAAGGGCGGTTGGACAAGACGAGAGAAAAAAAAAGGAAGGAGAAAATCGCAAAGGACATGAGATCAGCAGTTTGAAGACGATGTCAAGAAATAAGCTCAAACGTTATACCTTTTAAGCGCCTATTAATCCCCCAAAATCTTCTTTTACACATGGGATCAAATGTCAAGCGGAATTATTAATTCAACAAGGCAGAATAAAGTGATAAAAGAGAAAGAAAATTCGGCAATCGCTCGTCCAGTTGTTGAATTATTCCTCCGTCAAATCGATCGATTTTTCATGGCAAGAAACTTGTATCGACAGCACTTTTGGAAATAAATTCACAAATTGACTCTCATTTCTCACTGAACCCAGCCATACATCTTGAGAATCCAATCCTCGTGCGAGTACAATTTTTAATCCGACATCATCTTGAGCTCAGCACACACTCAGACCATGGATCCAATCTCTGGACTGGTGCAGAGTGGCTAAGATATTATTAAATGCCAAGTTAAAGTGATTTCGCCCAACGACGAGAGAATATA